GCAGAGGTTAACCGGGCGCATAGCCGCCCTGGGGCGATTCATCTCGAGGTCCTCCAATAAGAGCCATCGATTTTTCTTGTTGATGAAGAAGAAAAATAACTTCACATGGACCCCGTAATTCCAGCAGGCCTCGGAAGAGCTTAAATGTTACTTATCGAGCCCACTGCTGCTTCACACACCGAGGGAGGATGAACAACTGTACTTATATTTGGCAGTATCGGAGATAGAGTTAAGTGGAGTCCTAGTCTGGGAAAAACAAGGTATGCCATTTCCAGTTTATTAAATTAGCCTGACCTTAGGTGAGGCAGAAACTAGGTATCCCCACTTAGAAAAGTTGGCGCTCGCTTTGATAGGCGCCTCTAGGAAACTTAAACCGTACTTTCAATGTCACCCCATATTTGTTGTAACAACTTATCCAATTCGAAATATTGTGCATAAACCCGAGCTTTCGGGGCGGTTGGCCAAATGGGCCGTAGAAATCAGCGGGTATGATATCGAATATCGACTCTGAACAGCCATTAAGTCTCAAATTTTGGTAGACTTTGTGGATGACCTCACGCCGGCCCTAGTACCTGAGGTTGAAAGTGAACTGTTGGTAAACTCGGGTACGTCCTCGGGAATCTGGAACCTCTTTACGGACGGTGCTTCAAACGCAAAAGGGTCCGGACTCGAAATCATACTAAAACCACCCACAGGCAATGTGGTTAGACAATCTATTAGAACTATAAAATTGACTAACAACGAGGCCGAATATAAGGCCATAATTGCAGGTCTCGAACTAGCTAATAGCTTGGGAGAAGAGGTGATCGAAGCCAAATGCGACTCCCTCCTCATGGTGAATCAGGTAAACGGAACCTTCGAAGTTAGGGAAGAATGAATGCAACGATACCTAGATAAGTTATAAGTAACTTTGCACCGATTTAACGAGTGGACTTTGAAACACGTGCCTCGACATCAGAATAGTGAGGCTGATGCCCTCGCAAACTTAGTGTCATCTGTCGAGGACAACGAGTTCAATTCGGGGGCCGTCCTGCAGATCATGAGGTCAGTAGTCGAAGAAGGCCATGCCGAAATAAATTCCATAAGCTTGACCTGGGATTGGAGAAATAAATACATAGAATATTTGAAAACCGGGAAGCTTCCCTCCGATCTAAAAGAAATCGAGGGCCCTGCGCACGAAGGCAGCATGATTCACCTTGTCCGAAGATGGAACCTTGTTTAGATGAATGTTTGATGGTCCACTAGCGATATGTCTGGGACCAAGATACACCGAGTATGTTCTGAGGGAAGTTCACGAGAGAACTTGCGTAAATCATTCCAGTGCCGAATCATTGGTTCAAAAGGTAATCAGAGCCGGCTATTATTGGATAGACATGGAAAAAGATGCGAAAGAGTTCGTTCGAAAATGTGACAAATGCCAAAGACACGCACCGATGATTCACCAACTCGGGGAACTACTCCATTCGGTCTTGTCACTGTGGCCATTCATGAAGTGGGGAATGGATATCATTGGCCTTCTTCCATGGGCACCATGTAAAGCTCAATTTATTTTATTTTTGACTGACTATTTTTCTAAGTGGGTTGAAGCAAAAGCCTTCAATAAAGTTAGGGAGAAGGAAGTCATCGACTTCATTTGGGATCACATCATATGTCGATTCGGGATGCCATCCGAAATTGTGTGTGATAACGAGAAATAGTTCACCGGTAGCAAAGTAAACAAATTCCTCGAAGAACATAAGATCAAAAGAATCGTATCAACACCTTATCATCTTTGCGGAAACGGACAAGCCGAATCGACCAACAAAACCATCATCCAAAATCTTAAGAAGAGACTAACCAACACCAAAGGAAAGTGGAGGGAAATTTTGCCCAAAGATGTTTGGGCATACCGCACAACCTCGAAGTCCAGTACCGGGCTACCCCATTCTCATTAATATATGGCGCTGAAGCTCTAATACTGGTCAAAATCGGAGAGCCGAGTATCCAGCTCCGATATGCAACAAAGGAATCAAACGACGAGGCCATGAATACGAGCCTAGAACTATTGGATGAAAGGCGTGAAGTCGCCCTCATCCGATTAGCCACCCAAAAACAACAGATCAAGAGATAATACAATCGAAGAGCCAATCTTTGATATTTTAACGTCGGGGACTTAGTGCTAAGTAAAGTCACCCTCAACACCTGAAATCCGAATGAAGGAAAATTGGGTCCGAATTAGGAATGACCGTACCAAATTCTCGAGGTTACCAGAAAAGGGTTCTACAAGCTCAGAACGATGAATGGAGAACAACTACCAAGCAATTGGAACATATCTCACCTAAAACGGTATTACTACTAAGGTACGACCTCTTTCCAATTCCTTTTTTATTTCAGAATAACACTTGCAGGTGGTCAACAAGAAGCGACGATGGATTTTTCGGCGAATGGCACAAAGTCTTTAGGTCTCAAAGAACTTGTTGCACTATTTTTCCCTTAGACCGATTTTGTCCCAAATGGGTTTTCTGGCAAGGTTTTTAACGAGGCAACAATAAATCGTGCTAACTTAGAATCAAGCCCGATTACGAATCGGCACCGAAGATCAATTCAACAATATCCGAGGTTCTTTTGCAATCAACCTCGAATATTGGGGGCTACCCTCGGATATGCATTGTCTTCGAGTATCAACTTTAGCGAGGAAACTATTTCATAAAGGGAGGGTCTCGATAGAAATGATTTATTGTAAGGGCCAAACTGTCAAAACGAACAGTGCCCATGTAAATTGCTCGAGCCCTGGCATAAAATATGTACACATGTATGATGATTTCGATCGAGAATAAGGAGAAGTACTTTCCTTGCAATCATCTTATGCTTTAAAATTTTTCCTCTTACATCCCTTTAAAGAACTTCATACTTCCGAAAAATAACAAGCCGAAGGGAATTACATAACCAGAATGCGAACGACCACCCCCTCACTCGGGGACTGCTGTCTAACTCAAACAGCCCAAGTCATCTAGCCTCAGGGGCAAAAGACCTATTAGGCAACTCTCCGGTTTCTAAAGGCCACGGCTACCCTACTCGAGGACCGTTATCTCAGGCAAGCCCGGATGACTCGGGAAAATAAGCCCAATGGGCAGTTCCTTAACTAAAAAGCTATGGTAAATTTAAGATGGCTCGGAGACGTCCGAGACCAGTAACAAAAATAGGCCTTCGAAAAAGAGAAAACTTTTCACAACCGGTTCTAAAGGCTTCCCTAGGAAAAGTCATAAACTTAAGATATTTTTAGGGAAAAATATTTGGTAACGTCGAACCCCAACAACGCCTTAACCCAGAAAGGCAATAACAGTAAGATTTGTTCGAATCCTCGAAAACAACCTCATTGTTTCACGCTAAGGCATTCCGACCTTTGTGAATACAAGTAATAAAGCAAAGGAAATATTTGAGAGCCGAAAGAGGAAGAAAAGCCTTATATATATATATATATGATAATTTTTACAAAAGCCAGATCAGCCTAATACAAAAATTTACAAAGGCCAAAACGGTCTAAAAACGATGCAAAAATATAAAGGCCTAAGTGGCCCGGTCTTCATCGGGGGTAACATCTATATCCCCGGGATCTTCCCCGTCTTCAGATTCGCTTAAGCTATCAGAATCTTCCTCAAGAAAGGCCAGCTTCCAGGCCCTGGTTTCCTCTACTTTGGCATTCTCGATTTCGACCATAATATCGAAGCCTTGAGCACAAACTCCTGCTAGGGCTTCCCTTCGAGCTTGCCATTTTGCATGATCCACCATGCTCTTGGACTTCGCCTGGATGGCCTAGACATCGAATTTAAATTGGGCTACGTTAGCATCAACTTTGGTGTTGTCTACGGCCACCTCAAATCTGGCCACTTCGAGTTCGCTAGCCAAGTTTGCCTTATCAGAAATAACCAAGTCAAACTGAGATTGAAGCTCATTGATTTTCTCGACCTGCGCCGATGCCTTCTCCTTTGCAGCTTGGAGCTGGGTCTCGACCGACTTCAGTTGACCTTGGACGGTTTCCTTTCTCGAGGCTAAGATGACCATATTCTTCTTGAATTCTTCAGCCTCGGCTTGTATCGTATCTACTTGTTTCTGAAGCTCCCCGATCTGTTTGAGCCTCTGCCGGACCTACAGGATCGGATCGTTAGTTACTATCTCTAATTTATCTTCACTATCGTAAAGCACTCGGAATACCTGCTCGGCCATCTCGGCATGCTCATCCCGAGCCGTTACTCAATCGGCCTGAAGCTTCTCACTGAGAAGCTTGTAGGTGTCACTTTTCTCAGCGAGGTCCCGTACCTCGGCTTCATGATGAGTTAATTCCTCTCGATATCGGAGGGACATGACATTCACGCAATACAAAACAATATACTGTCTTCTTTTAGCTTTCAATATCTTGTTACTCTGTTTTTATATCGGTTGAATCTTCACTTGGTTTGAGGGCGGTCGAACTCGTGGGCCAAAGCTATTCGATTCGTTTCGGTTGCATACATTTCTTTCACAGTCAATTTCAATATTAATATATATATATATATTCTCAATTTGTGCCAAGTTGTATCACGTATCCTTAAAACTGCGTAAAAATTCAATTGTTATCTGTTTTTTGGGTAAACATCTATACTTTGCCCGTTTTAACTGTTCTGCTTGCTGTATTCATTTCAGTACCGTTTTAACTGTTCTGCTTGCTGTATTCATTTCAGTAATCTCTGTTGCTAAAGCCCTAGGTAGGCTTCGCGATTCCTTGCTTTTGTTCATGACGCACAGGTTGTTGCTACACTCTCGCTAGTAACTTCTAAAACTGCAGAGGCAATATTTTTTAAACTCTCATGTTCAATATAACTGTTTGCGTACCAGTTGTGCTGGCTTTTTATTCATGGTTATTCTGAAGTTATGTAGGATATTACAAAATAGCCCGACATGTATTGGTATACACTTTTAAAAACAACAAATGAGTGATACAGATGCTGGATATAAAGCCAAAAAAATAGCACAAACCTCTTCTATTTTGTCCAGAATACATTTTACAATATAATTCACATGCACTGTAGTAAATAAAGAAAACAAAAAGCTCACCACCGTTACAATCTTCGAGCAAGGATAACACAATATTTCAACTAGAAGAGCAGATTTACTGTATAAATTCAATAGTTATACAGTAACACGGATATGTAACACTGGGCGGGTATATTGCGTATTGTAACGTGTTTACTTTACACAAACAAAATCATACCTTCTCTATTTTAAATTAACAAATAAACATATGTCGATCTGAAGCCCAAAATAGCCAAGGCAATAATCTCTGTATTCTCTTACTGCTAAAAGGACATCAAATAAACCAACCTGCATTAAACTACACCTAATATTCCTTTCTTCAAATAATCATTGAATCACTAGGTAACATATCATAACCACTCCTCTCTCTCTTTCTTGATCGATATCAAGCTCTCCTTACAAACAACAACTTCCAATGTTTCCGCATCACCTGATATGTCAAGATTTTTAATTTCTTGGCTGAGGAGGTTACACGACACAAGTTCTCCATTCTTGCTTTCTATTAGCATCTCTGTCTCATTCTTCCAAATTGACAAAGGTGTCTGTATGAAGATTGGGCCGATGGTAAACTCCTTAGTCCAAGATTCTTTAACACCATATTCCTTCATCACCCAAATATCAACCATTTGGGGCATTTGCTCGTCAAACCAAAAATACATCGTAGGATAACAAATCAATGCAAGACATTCATTTAAGATGACAAGATTCTTTCCTTGCATATCAACTAGGCCGTCGGGATAAGGAATATTTTGAAACAACTCTGTGCTAAAGTTGAAAGAAACGATCCAATTTTCTACCATTGGTGATGCCATTGTTCCGCACAAATGAAAAACCCCATTAAATAATACCTTAAAACAACGAGAAGGGTGAATCATCGATGGTACTTCATCGATTTCTCTCCAAGAATTTGTACTTAGATTATAGATCTCAATAGTACTAACATCCTTAATTAGAGGATATTCGTCAAAATTGAAGATTCTAATAACCTTATAATCATTTGTTTTGGGGTCAAACCCAATTCCCGCGACGATTTGCATCGTGTGGTTAAGGTCTTGTCTAGTAGATGAGTATTGGCTAGGAGGGAGTTCCCAAAATTCTCTTAATGTTGGGTTGTACAAAAAAATAGTCCTGTAACTACCTATGCAGACTATGCCATTGCAAGGTCCTGCAATGCTAACACCTATATAGTTATCAAAATATGTTACATTTGGTGCTCTAGATTTGAATGATTCATCAATTGAATGGCAGGACAGAATATTATGACCTTTATAATAATTGCTTTCTGCATCTATCTCATCATTACCGATGTAACGCTTCAAAAGAACAAAGTCATTTGAGAGACAATCATGATTGTAATGGATATCGGTGAAATTAGAGCTATTTACCAAATTATACCATGTTTTAGATACACATTTGAATCTCAAGAGGGATTTCCCAGGCAAGTTCTTCAAGATGTCTATCATCACATCATGGGGAATTTGTTTGATCCTTAGCGAATCTACCTCTTCCATTTCAAGAAATAATTTTCAGCAACGATGAATGTTTATCATGATTTACAACTTGATGATGGGAATATATGGCAAATTGAATATTACCAGAGAGATTGTGTTGTTTTAGATTTTATAAAGATCCCCATATCGGCGAATTTTGTGGGTTATGCCCACCAATGCATTTACCTGGTCGAAGATAGACTTTTAGGGCGATAAGTCGGGTTTGTTGTATTGTGTAGTTCATCTGGAAATGTCAATCTAATCACATTCCCGGAATATACTCGATTACATTATGCATATATTAACTAATTAATCCTAATTGAAAACTGAAAAGAAAATCTATATGGAAGATCCAGTTTAAAAATATGATAATAAAAAACAATTGACATCAGATACCCATTCATAACTCGAGATATTTATAAAAAACACTAGTCTATCAGTTATTTTAACTAATGAAACTTTCAATTTTGCCGGACAGTTGGTTTGTGGGTATACATGGGCATAAGCATATTTATCCTAGGTTTGCATAATTGTTTAAACAATTTGTTAGTGTTAGCGAAGTTGTTTCAATGCAAATTAGTTGTACGTACTTTTAAAATTCAAATTGTTATTGGGTTCGCTCTAGGTTCATAATCCAGATAATGGCATAAATATCCATTTTTGCATGATATTGCTTGGGGACTTGACCCTAAAGTCGGAATAATGTCTAAGTACTCCCTCAATGCGTACAAGTTTCATAGAGAAGAATGGTCTAAGGGCAAAAAAGATATTATTCTATATCGACCAATGGTGGTTCAGCCTCGACTACCATTAACTTTATGGCCACGCATACTTTGCCACCTTTGAGTCAGCGTATCCCTTCTCGTCAGTATGGTGGCTCACCATTGATTCTATCATTGGGCGGCCATAACAGTCAGCATGATGGTTCGCCTTTTGTGCCTCCATCACCGTCCACTCCATTATCATTTCCATCATCATCTACTCCTAGTATATCTAGACTGGATATTTGAGGCTTTCAAATGGCTGTGTCCCCATCTACTTGTACTTCTTCAGTTGCTCCTTCACGGAGACAGTATGCTGGTGGGACTTTAGAGTATGATCATTTGCATCAGTTGATCATCGTACCCTATGAGTTGATGCCATGTGACCAGGAGGTCACATGTGAGAGCCATGGAAATAACCTTTTGCAGAATTGCAGGGTAAGACTGCTTACAATAGACCCTTGTGGTCTGACTCTTTTCGGATCCCGCGCATAGCGGGAGCTTAGTGCACCAGGCTGCCGATCATCGTACCCCATGAAGACGGGTAAGTTATTCTTTATTTTTAATTGTTTGAGTAAAGTTCTACATGTATTCAATTTAATGAAGCTTTATTTTACATGGTAAATGTAATGCAGGTTTTTGTCATCCTTTAGGCCACACATATGGTTGTGGAATCTATGAATCCATTTTTTCATGAGCTGTAGAATTCTTAGAGAGAGATACCATACTAGATCAGAGTGAATATCTGACATCAATTTAAGGTACAAACAAATAAAATTTATATAATACTTATTGTGTTCGTCTAAATTTTGTTTTAATTGCAGTATAAGGGTGTATGGTAGCCTCAGCATGAAATTAAGGTGAATGCTAGTTTCGAGAAGAGGGTGCAGAAAAGAATTAAAAATAGTTATTTTGTTGCTCGAAAAGGTGGCAACAAGCCCAATTGGTTGCGTCAAGATGTCTGGCTTCAACCTTAAGAGAAGTGGAATACCGATGAATGAAAGCAGAAGAGTGAAAAAGGAAAGGCAAACAGAGCTACCAGTAAGGGTGGATTGTTGAACACCAGAGGTTCAATTAGTTTTACAGTCCATTGATTGAGATTGGTAATTAATTTGTACATTTTCCTTAGTATTACTTGTTGCACCCTGTTTTGCACAGGTCAAAACAAGATTCAACTAGTGGTTCTTCTGATGTTGATAAAAGAGAGTCGTCACCTAATATTTAAGGTATATTAGGGTACCTATGTGTTTATTAGATTATTATCCTAATGGTTTACTAACCGATGAGATTTTGGGTAAGAGTGCTAGTTATTCAAAGGGGAAGGTGTTAGGTATCCCTTAAAATCTACCTGAGATAGCTCCTTAAACTTATGCTAGATTCGAGAAAGTAAAGGTCTACACTACGCTTGGTCAGGTTCTTAAAGTCTATCAAATAATCTAAATCTAGTTTAAAAATCTACTGTTTTGAGAAGAGGGTTGTGCATGTATTTTGAAAAGAAGAGTTACAGGTTTTTAAGGTTTATAACCTATGAAAAATTCCTTTTGAAATGTTTACAAAGTTGACAAAATCTTGTGAAGGACCTTTATATTTTAAAAGAAAGCTTGAATATTTTATCTTTTGAAAAATACGGTTACTCATATATGACTTGGTGAAATAAAAGACTACTAGAAAATATACCATGGAGTGAGATAGGTATACCTCTTTTGCAAATCGATTTCAATCGGAGTTTGTATTTTTCGAAAACTTCATTGAGGTTTGTTTAGTTTGCAATCTCAGGCTATGTTTGATTTTGTTTCTTGAAAATCAGCTTTATCATTATCTTTGCAATTTCGATATTTTCAAAGAGAAATCATTTCATTTTTTTGAAAACCTGTTCGAATCCAAAACTTGTTGAAGATGGTTAGTGCTAGCAAGACAAAATCTTTTATTTGTTAGGGAAATAAGTGATCAAAGTATTAAAAGTGTTAAAGGGAACATGATTTCAAATTCTGATTCTTTTACCTATAGGCTTTTGGTTGCCATACGTCTCCTAAGCAATCAAAGCATCAAATAATATTCAATAGATCGTTAGTGTCAAAACATATGCATAGAATAATTAAATAACAATAATTATTGTTTAAGAATGTAAGAAGGAGGAAAGGGTTGTACTCTTGAGATTGGGTCGATGGATAGTCAGGCCCAGCAGATTTCACACGAGCAGCAGACTTCATTGAGCGGGAAAGCAATTAAGACTGGAACTTGGGCCGCAGTTTTAAAGAACTCGGCAGGCCCAGTTCAAACCTGCACACAAAAGATATATGGAAATAACTAGTGAAAATCAATATGAGGTATAACAAGAATAAAATCACAACAAATAATAATAATATAGTAGATCTAATTAGCATTGGTGTTAATCCTATGAGGATTAATGAAAGTCATTGACCAAAGGCTTAGGGTAAGACCTTATTCATTGATAAAATACTCCTTTGGACCCCTGGCACTTCAAAATTTACAAAGGTCTTATGGACCCCGAGCAGTTCTTGTGTCAGGGAGGGGTATCTCAGACACAACTAAGTTTCACACCCAAATACCTTTAGACACAAATGAGGTGTCAACTTAGCAATTAACATGAACGCAGTAGTGGACACAAAGGTTCAGACTGACAGAATTTATATAGAACCTATAGAGAACATTATCATTAGAGTGCCGGGATATGAATAGTCCACAATCAATCACAACTTTTAGGATCAGAACCCAAAATATAAAGACCAGCTACTGCAAGTGGCCTTGTATGGTCCAGTAATATTAATGACCTTAGGGTTGATTATAGCATGTATCAGGGCACTTAGGAAAGGTTATCACACAGATATAAAATTCAGGAGAATTAGTGGCCAACTATCAGTAAACCACTTCAAGTTCAGAAGTGCCTAATTGAGTGATCTGAGCATTGGTATGTGATAAGGAAAGACCTATACATTAGTTTCAGTAGTTCTTATGAGGACTCAATATTTTAGGATCCTTAGCTAGGTTCATAACACTTTGTCAGATATTTCAGTGATCTTCAGGACAATCAAAAGTAAGAATATACATGGTTGAGACTTTATTCCTCTGAACACCTATACTAACAGCCTTATTCAGGCTTCCTAAAAATAACAATAACCAGTAAACATATCAATGTAAGTAGGAAGGTCAGTTTTAATCTAGTTCAAACCTAGTAGAATGATATCTAGTTTATCAGATTCTCAAACAACTCCAAATTCATAATTAAGTCTTTATATATAAGGACATCAACCAGATATGAGACAGTGGGTAAGGATGTTCATTCTTAATGGATGAGAGGAAGACAAACAGGCCTTAATGAATTTACTTAAACATATGAGTAATCAAGTTACACAAATAAACTTCTCATTTCAGATCCTATGTTTAGCATTATTCATTCAAGTTGCTAAGTTATTAAGGTAACCAGGATTCAACTTTCTTCTTCTATAGAGCAGTTTCGAATAAAGAACATGGTAGTTTAGATATGACACTTCCTCAAAAATGAAAAACATGTAAAAGATTCATGAGCATCACTGGACAAGCAGAAGTGTAATGAACATAAGCGCAAGCACGGAGGTCAATAAGAGTCACTTAACTAGCATATAGTAAGGTTCCATGTGGTCAATAATACATGCTTCATATGATAGTCATGGTTTTAAACTATCCAATTAAGATCAGTATGTCAAATGTAAGTCATGAACTGTGGTGAGGATCATTCTTATTGAATCAAAAAAATGTGGTATAACATTACAAATGTAAGGATCAACATAGCACAATACAACAAATATGAACTCTCAACAGGGTATTAGAAGAGGTCTAAAACCATAGTTCATAAGTTAGCTAAATATAGTGGTACATCTGTTATTTAACTGATAGATATAGAGCATACATAGAATTATCAAAATATTTTAGCTAGTGACAAAAGGTTCAGTAGGACTTATATCAATCATTACAGAAAACATTTATCTAGTTAAATTATGGGAGATGAAGTTCATTAATAATACAGATTGTCAGAGTACCAAAACGATCATAACTTATCTGGAAATAATCAACTCAATTAGTGAAGATAGCATGTGAAAACAAGACATAATAATCACAATTATAAGCTAGTAATATATATCATAAACGAAAAGTGATCAATAAAAAGAACATCATAAACCCAAAATGTCACAGGTAATCAAATAAGGTGTCACGACCCCAATTTCCATCTGTAGGATGTCATGATGCACCTAATCTCTATGACTATCTAAGCCTAACATTTGATAACAACTTGACAGAAATAATTAACAAAATACTAAAACAAGGGTGAACAACTGATATAAACTCCTGAAGTAGAATCTCAACAAATACTTTCCCAAAACCGGTGGAACTGAGTTATAAACTCTATAAAATAAAACTAGAATATCTAATACATCTCTGTCTGAAAGAAAATACAA